TGTGAGAAAATATTTTGTAATTTTACAACGTTTTTCACAATTTCATCGTGAAAAGAGATTTTAGGACAGTAGAATTACATATAAAATTCGCGTCTAAATGTGTTTATTTGCTATATTTAGATAGCACGTTATTGCTTTATATTAATCTACCATTGAATCTATAAAGAACTACAGTAGATACCTCTAGGAAGTTGGAGATCCAGGGCAGTGTTCCATTCTGCAATGAAGACCGTACCACGCACCTCATCAAAACAGTCGGCCTGTAAACACAATTCTTCACATATCCTTAGAGTCCTTTATACATTGGATAGATTGACCTATATATAAAATGAAAGAATTTAAAAGCACGAATGTTTCTTTTATACCTAATACAAACTTCTACCTTACTGCGATTAAAAAATATGTATTGGGAGGGCTTGACTCATCAGTGGTGAATCCTCCCAGCGGTTTCATCAATTTAATCCACCAGACCGCTTCTCAGAGCTCTAATACTGTATTGGACGATTCTGCTTATATACGCAGCACTGAAGGGTGGAATCTCAGAAATGGTTTTCAAGAAAACTATGGACATAAGCTTATGGGACAGTAGAATTACATTCAAATATTTGCATCGAGCAATGCTCTTCCGCAAACATTTCATCGCAGTAAGGGCAGTAGAAGTTTGTATTATGTATAAAAGAAACATTCGTGCTTTTAAATTCTTTCATTTTATATGTATAGATGGCGCGTTATTGCTATGTGTTAATTGACCTATATAGAAATTATTTTTAAAATCAAAATATATTACTTTTTTTGAAGAAGGAATAAAAGAAAATCGTCACCGTAAACTTTGATTCCTTCTTCAAGATGATGTCTGGCGATTCATTCCTTCTCTTGTAATATTACTTTTTTTATTGGAAGTTGATTCATAAAAAATATAACCACATCAACCAATGATTTATTCAACTCCCGAAGTTTTATTGACTTCTTGTCAACTCTTCTCAGGGGAATAGAGAGTAACAGCAGGTAAATGTAACGTCGGGAGTTGATGCCGTTCCGCCAAAAATCGCCTGGTCTGGTGTCAAAAAAGTTGATGAGCCAGGTTTTGAGGTCCTCTTCAACATCGAAGGTAGTGCCTCTCATATGGTTTGACATGGAGCGTAAAAGGTGGTAATCGGTTAGTGCAAGGTCCGGAGCGTATGCCGGGTGCTGTAGAACTTCCCATTCGAGCTCTTGAAGGGTGGCTTTGACGACTTGTGAAACATGCGGCCTAGCGTTGTCGTGAAGGAGAATGATTTGACCTTGTTGATCGGGTCTGCCATGTAAAAAGCACATGTGCTTGTGATCAGGATATGCTTTCTTTATTTTTAATATATATATATATATGTTTATTGCACGTATATAAACATATAACTATATACTCCTATAGAAGGGTTTGTAAAACCTGTAAGCTTTAGAAAAAATTATATAATAAAGCAAGAAACTCATCCACGAAAGCCGTTTTATATTTATTATTAAAAAATCTGTATATGTGTTTTAATCTTTTTTATCCAATCAAATTGGTTTCTTTATAACCACTCAGAGATTGGTAATACAGTAGAACTACCTCTCTGTAAAGGTCACCTAATTGCAGAGCCAAAGTGTCCTTTAGGGAGAGGTGTCCTCTTACTGGAGAGTTGATAAATTGTAAAATGGTAATTTTGCAAATGAAAACTGTCCTTTATAGAGAGGTGTCGGCTAAAGGAAGGTTCTACTGTATCTATAAAACTATTATGAATTGTTATTTCTGTGATGAGTAGCCTTGAATTCATATCTACCATCTGTCTCTATGTGTGATGGATATGGTCTTAACTTACGCGAAGTCCTGAGGGCAGGAGTCCTCACAGGTCCCAACTAGAGGACAGTCCGCACAGGACCGGCGTAGGACCAGCCACCTATTCACAATCAGGTGTGAGGAGCGATTGCTAGTGGGCGGGGCTACCTGCGGGGCGTAGTGTCCGCACCGGAGCCCTCGACGCCAGCGATTGGTGCGTTGTCCGCCGAGCCGCACACATTGCCCGCCTCATCCGCCCCGTACACCAGCCGGGCCACGCCTCCTCGTACCCCAGCCACCGCCAACACTAGGGTCTGCACGCCACAGACATGTCGAGTGGGCGGGGCTTCGACATTGTAGGCGGAGCTTCGAGATTATGGGCGGAGCTTCTTTTGCTCCCGCTTCTAATGTGACTTCAATTACTTAGTTTTAATGGTTTTATTCACCAATATATAAAACGCTTCTAAATAGAAATGTACATATTTTCAAGTTTATTATTATAAGCATTTTATTGTAGAAATTAAACTCTTTAAAACGATCATTAAAACAATAATAAACAATAAGAGGAGCTTCTTGTGTAGATTTCTTTATTACCGCAAGCTTTCGAACAGAACGTTCTTCATCGGGCGTGGATAATAAAGCACGTTTTACTATCCACGCCCGATGAAGAACGTTCTGTTCGAAAGCTTGCGGTAATAAAGAAATCTACACAAGAAGCTCCTCTTATTGTTTATTATTGTTTTAAGCATTTTATTATTAGTGTTGTGGAAGCCTCTGCGTGGGTTACTCAGTACCAGGCAACTACAATCTCTTAGAATTTATTAGTACGCAAACTACTACAATACGGACTGACTGACTTACTTAACTCACTAGCTGCTGACAACTTGTAGCGCTTTTATACATTCAGTCAGAATCGAGTATGCAAAGAGGATATTTGCATTTCCGCAAATATCCCTAATATGTAAATACACAACACCCTCCCCTCCTAATAATAATGGAGACGGTCTGGTGGTCTCCTGGATCTCTGGGGTCTGGGGCTCCGGCTTGGGATTCTTTCTCCAGAAGTAGCAGCCATAGGCTCCTGGTGTTCTCCAACTGATGTCAACTCCTGCCTGGTTGACTGCGGCTCCAATTCATTTGTGGTGACCTCTTCTTCCGGGATCTCCAGGCCACCGTGAGAGGGTTCTCTCTCGCAATGCGATTCTCTTCGCAGCTCTTGTCCGGATGTACTCGGCAGCACCAAGCTTGGCTCTTTCTCTACAGTAGCCTCTGGATTTCCTTTGACAGGTCGCAGCTGATTGATGTGCCTCTTTAGGGATTGGCCTTCATACCCTATTAGGTAATGGCGGCAACTAAGGAGTTTTAGGATGGTTCCAATTTTCCACTTTGGTCCGGCTGCATAGTTTCTAAAATAAACATCGGAACCAATTTTAAAATGCTCCTGTTTTCTCAAAGCATCAGGAAACCCCTCTCCCTTCATGTCTATTTTAGGCATTAAATTGGAAAATCTAGACTTTAGACGTCTCTTCATCAATAATTCAGCTGGCGATTCCTTTAGGACTGACTGTGGAAATGCTCTATGGGCAAACAAAAATCTTTGTAGGTTTGTTTCCAAGTCATCCTTTTCGTTGTTCTTTTTTAACGATGTTTTGAATTCGCGGACATACCGCTCAGCTAACCCATTGGTACTTGGATTATATGGACTGGTTTTTGTGTGTCGAATTCCATTCATTCTGGTGAATTCCTCCATTTCTCTCGAGACAAACTGTCTTCCATTGTCTGTCACTAGGAATTCCGGCAGTCCAAATCTGGCAAACACTTGCCTTAGACAATCCACAATGGTTTTACTGGTTATATCCCTGAGGATAAATATCTCCAACCATTTGGTATAAGCATCCACAATGACCAGAAACATTTTACCCATAAAAGGGCCTGCCAAATCCAGATGTAGGCGATGCCATGGTTTCTCTGGCCAAGTCCATTCTGTAATCATGGAAGGAGGCATGCCTGCAGTTTCTTGACAGATGGTGCAATGCCGAGCCATATCTTCTATGCTCCTATCTATTCCTGGCCACCAAAAATACCTCCTTGCTATTATCTTAATTTTTACCATTCCAAAATGCATCTCATGTAGATCTATGAGAATTTGAGATCTTAATTTTGGAGGAATCACTATCCGCTCTTTCCACTGAAGGCATCCAAAATCCACACTTAATTCATTCCTAACCTTGAAGTAAGGAGACAAAGGATTTTCTTTCGTGAATTTTGGTGTTTGCCATGTGTCCTCCCGGACATTTCTCAGAACAATTGCAAGAGTCTTATCTCTTTTAGTCTCGAATGCCACATCCTGGAATGAAAAAGGAACCTCATTCATTTTTCTTAAGAGCAAAACCTGATCATCATCATAAGATCCACTTTCATTTGCTTTTAACGGCAAACGTGATAACGCATCGGCATTCCCGTGGTCCTCCGTCTTTCTAAACTCCACCGAGTAATGGAAAGCGCCCAGCTTTAATGACCATCTCTTTATCCTAGACGCTGCACATAACGGAATTGGTTTGTGTGGTGAAAACAAGTGCATGAGTGGTCTGTTATCAGTCACCAACACAAACGAGCGTCCTAGAAGGTATTGCCTAAATTTTTCACAGCCATAAACGATACTTAAGGCTTCTTTTTCAAGCTGGGAATAATTTTTTTCAGCATCTGTGAGTGTTCGCGATGCAAACGCTATTGGACTCTCCTGCTTATTTTTGTCTCTGTGACTAAGCACCACACCAAGTCCATAGCTTGAGGCATCGCATGCCAGTACCAGTTCCTTCGTCGGATCATAGTGTGTCAATACTGACTCATTAGTCAATAATGATTTGCATTCTTTGAACAATATCCGATGTTCTCTTGTCCATTTCCAACGAGTATTTTTCTTCAATAACTTGTAAAAAGGAGTCAATATATGAGAGATATTCCTTATAAATCTTGCGTAGTACATCAACATTCCGATAAATGATCGTAACTGACCAAT